GACCCGGGAGCCAAGGTCATTTTTGAAAAAAAGGCTTTGTCAGGACCTGTACTCATGCCCCTGGGATTCGCAGGCGAGCATCTAGCCGCGATACTATGTTGGCAGTGAACAAAACCACTTATCAATGGTCAAAGGGAAAGAAATCGCTCAATTCTTTTCTCCATTTGTATTTGGTGATTACTTCACCTGACATAGCTAATTACGCTTTTCTCGCTTTAGTTTCTAAAAACTAACCCAGTTTTTTTTTTCTTCTCAACTTCTTTTTCTCTTCTAGTTTCTAAGGGTACAGAGTCAGAGAATGTTAGTTTTTTTTTTTTTTTTCAAGCAAAATTTAAAGCAGCGGTTCACAACATATTTTGAGCCATGACCACACTTTACTGAGGCAAACTGACCCATGACATCATACAAACAAAAATAGGCTTTTAATAAGATAAATATGAATACTCTGGAAACTGATTGTTCAGTACAATTAATATGACACCCCCCCCCCCCCCCCCCCCCCCCCCCCTTTTCCCTGGAAAAAAATAATTTTTTATTTTATAACTTAACACTCCCCGATGACCCCATGGCTGGAAACCCGCAGGTTTAAGTCTTCTATGAGGCCACATCATAACTCTTGCTACATGCTTGCTTGCCAACCTGAAGATCCTAAATTTAAATCTGCATCATAGCATAATTTTAAAAATAATCTAGCCCTCCCTCCAGGTTGACCCAGCCTCAAACGGGTACCTGGAAATGTCCAGTAAAGTAAAGGCGGTCAGCATGATGCTGACCACATCATAAACCAAGTGTTGACTGGTCTACACAAATATAGGTCTAAAACAAACACGTTTGATGTACCAATAGCATTAAGAGGGTCCTATATGGTTAATTTGTTTACAAAGATTTCTATAGTGCAGTCGTAAAGGACCATTTCCAAGCTTTCAGGCATATTGGGCATATACGGCTAGCCTGATATTTTATAAACCAATCGGCACTCAGTGGGTGATTTGGTCAACATCAGGCTAACCACCTTTACTTCCCTGGACTTTATCTGATAACCCATTTAAAGCAGGGTGAACCTGGAAACCAAAGTTATTTTGTAAAGAAAAAATAAAGTCCGGCTCAATTCAGATTTCAGCTCATGATCTTCAGATCTGCAGATTAGAATTTAGCCACTACACTACGCTGACTCCCATGGTGCAGCAGTTATTAGGAAATTGATTTTTTTTTTAAAAAGGATAATTATGTCAATGTTTTTAATTCTAATTAATCTATACTATAAGTCACAAACCCTTTCTGTATGTTGTATGTTTAATTTAAGTGAATTGTTAACTCCTCCAAAACCGTGACCTTTAAAAGGGTTAAATTGTCATTTGCCATTATAACAATCTTCAAGTTAAGTTACATTGATGGCCCAGGTTACTGTGCATTTCTTTTTTTTTTTTTTTAATTGTGACAATTAGTAAAAGTAAACTTTTGCTGGAGTTTCATTTTTTTCCTATTACTTCCCTCGATTATGTGTCAGACAATACATTTGCCTGTCTCTCAAATTGTTGAATACTGGTGTTAAATGGCTTGGATGTACTTAGGGGCCAAGAGTAAAGATACAGCAGCAGTGGAGATAAGATGAAGTAGAAAATAGGAGATTAAATATAGGGTTCTATTAGAACCCTATTTTTACTAAGCCTACATATAGGGTAGCGGTTGAAACCAAGATGAAGTAGAGGACAGGAGAGTATGATTTTTTTTCACCATCTCCGGGCTAAGCCAGGCAATTAAATCCAGTGTATTTATAATTTAAGTTTTTCCGTACGACTATACAAAACATATAAGCTCCATGCCATGGCAGACCTAATAATAAGAGGAGTCCCCAGGTCTTCGTGAGTTGAGAACCCCCTGGACTAGATCATTCTAATATACATTTACCACAAACGCAGATGGGTTCTGTGGTAGGTGGTACATAGTTAGCATGTTTGCCTGCCAGCTCGGTGGTAATGTGTTCAGATCACTATCACAAAAGCATCTAGGTTTTTAAATTTAAAAAAAAAGGACTGGCTCCCAGATCAATCCAACCTAACCTGGGTACCTGGGAAAAAAAAAGGCCCTTTACAAGCCAGTGGTGCATCAGGCATAAAAGACCAATCGGTGGCCCTCCATGGGTGACGTGGTCAGCATTACTTCCCAGAACTTTACTTGGTACACATTTAAGGCTGATTTAATATGGAAGATAAGGCGAAGCTTTAAAAAAAAAAAAAAAAGACTAATGGTGGATTTAAACCCATGACCTTTGGATCCATAGGCAACCACCTAGCCCCTACACCAGCTTTCCACCAGGAAATAGCTGGAAGCATATATGGCAAAGAGTGATACCAATCAAAAAACCTATCATTAACTTCCAGTGCTGATTGTGAGCTAGCAATCTTGACTGATAGAACAAGTCAAAATAAGTCTAGCCAGGCAGGAACATTATACAGGAGGCCAAGAGTAAACCAACACAGAGCTGGTGCCATCAGTCATCTCATGCTGAAGACTATGCAGAGGAGGGGATCAGAGCACTTTAGGGCTGAATGGTTCGGTGTGCAATAAGGAGATATAAGGACTAATATAACATATCCACTATAAAAAGCCACAATAAACAATCTATAAAACGCTGTTATACAAAGTTAACATTTACAAATCCCTAATGTGGGTTCTGGGGCCACAATTTAGGTTGGTGGGGCAGAGGGCAGACCCATTGTCCTGTTAACTCGTTCAGTCCCAAGGTCTGATGTGCTGTAAGCACTGTTAGTGTCTCAATGGTCTGATGTGCTGTAAGCACTGTTAGCGTCTCAATGGTCTGATGTGCTGTAAGCACTGTTAGTGTCTCAATGGTTCGATGTGCTGTAAGCACTGTTGGTGTCTCAATGGTCTGATGTGCTGTAAGCACTGTTAGTGTCTCAATGGTTCGATGTGCTGTAAGCACTGTTAGTGTCTCAATGGTCTGATGTGCTGTAAGCACTGTTAGCGTCTCAATGGTCTGATGTGCTGTAAGCACTGTTGGTGTCTCAATGGTCTGATGTGCTGTAAGCACTGTTAGTGTCTCAATGGTCTGATGTGCTGTAAGCACTGTTAGTGTCTCAATGGTCTGATGTGCTGTAAGCACTGTTAGTGTCTCAATGGTCTGATGTGCTGTAAGCACTGTTAGTGTCTCAATGGTCTGATGTGCTGTAAGCACTGTTGGTGTCTCAATGGTTCGATGTGCTGTAAGCACTGTTAGTGTCTCAATGGTTCGATGTGCTGTAAGCACTGTTAGTGTCTCAATGGTCTGATGTGCTGTAAGCACTGTTAGTGTCTCAATGGTCTGATGTGCTGTAAGCACTGTTAGTGTCTCAATGGTCTGATGTGCTGTAAGCACTGTGGGTGTCTCAATGGTTCGATGTGCTGTAAGGATGATCTGTCAACTAACATAACACACATAGGAAATTCAAAAAAATTTTGTTTAAATGAACATAATCTGTCAGACTCTGTCATACATAATAGACATTTGTAAATCTCCATGTGTGTTCTGGTGCAGGGAAAATTGACACCCCCCCCCCCCTTTCCCCAACCACCTTGCATGCAGGCATGTCAAAAAAAAAAAATAACATAAGACAGCTAATGAAATGAAATTTAAAAAACATAGCATATAAGACACTCTGTTACATAATTAACATTTACAATATTGTTCCCAATGACAAGGTGAGTTACAAACAACAGTGAAAATATGGGGGTGACTGCAGTCAAGCTAATACACAGGAATTCCAGAGAAATTAAGACTAAAAAGCTCAACAAAATGGGGAAGCACGTTTTTCTACTTCCCCATTTTGTTGAGCTTTCAAGTCTAATTTCTCTGGAATTCCTGAGTTACAAACAAGTGTATACTTGTATTTCCTTTACTGGTCACCATCTGACAGTTACACCTTCTAGGCAGGCAAATCCTTCTGCACATTGCTTTAACCCCTTACAGTTTTTACAGTGAGTATTTGTGCTGACTTATTTGTGGCAGTTTCAGCTGAAAACTCTTTCCAATGAAAGTTTAAAAAACCCACTGATACATCTGTAATATAAATTAGCCACAGGCGTACTAGAACATTATTTGGGTTCTGCCTCCTTTCTGAGGGGTGAAAAATGATGGATCCACAGTTTCCTAACAAGCATGTTTTCAAAGGCAACATATCTATACTGAAAAGGCAAGCTATATCTATAAAACAGAGGTGCATGCAAAACTCTATGCCTCCTGGTCAACTGGAACTTGTTTAGTTTTCACCTTAAGCTCAACATTAGTGATTCTATATTACCATTTCATTCCCTCTATTCTATGCAGGCACCAGTTACTGAATGTTTGTAGTTTATTAATAATTGTTTTAGTTGTTCTCCATGTTTCTGCTCCATGCATTAGTACTGATTTTACGGAATTAAAAATGTTAAGTTTAGTATAAGTTTAAATTTCTTCTGACCTTCACAAATTTGTAATCACATTCACTTTGTAACAAACTGAATCAGTAACAGATCTTTCATAATCAATTGCACATAACCTCAAAGCAAGACCTCTAGCGACAGTCATCAAAATAAAAAACAATTCTGCTGGCCTAATAGTTTATGGTTCAAATCCACTTTAAGGCCACCCTCCAAGTCCCTTTTTTCAACCCAAACTGATCATCGCTTCCAGAACCAAAAATGGGCACAAAGTAATGTCTCGGGAGGCAAAGGTGGCTAGAGTGATTTAACCACGCCCCCACCAAGTGCTGATTGATCTATAAAACATGAGTCAAGCAGCATGTGCCTGATGCACTACTGGCGTCAAAAGGATAGTGTACTTTTACTTGACTTACAACATCAATAGAAATCTGTTACCCCCATTTCATACTTGCAAAACAGCTCTTACAGCACCAAGAGAGTGAGCATTTGACTCTCCCACCACTCTCAAACATTTGACTCTCCCACCACTCTCAAACAGCAATCAGTGATAACAAATAACTTATTAAAAGGTGATGACTAAATTAACTACAGCAACCAGAATTGGAAGATTTGGATCGTTCGCTCAAATCGACAGAGTTTGTTTGCACTGGCCGGATATCTAACTGGTCCTCCATATCTCGTAGCCAGGAGACAGCAGAAATAAAAGCCTTTTCTACATTTGTGGAATCTTTCGCGCTAGTCTCAAAATATGGCATGTTCCCGTTTCGAGCGCACCAGGTCCGAGCCATGTCTTCTGCTACCTCCCTGTTCGGCACATCCACCTTATTTCCAATGATTATAAATGGGAAGGGAGATCCCTCTTTGATGTCGGCATAATAAAGAAACTCCCGCTTCCACATTGGTAGGTTCTCAAAGCTTTTTCGGTCATCAACTGCAAAAGTTAACAAGCAAATATCAGCTCCTCTGTAAAATGGTGTTCGGAGAGATTTGAACCTTTCCTGACCTGCGGTATCCCAGATTTGCATTGTGTAATTTTCTCCACCAACCTGAAATGTTCAAGTGAAATACCATTTAAATGGATATAATGGCATTCTTGTAAATCAATTTTAAAATATATAAAGGAAATATTAAAATTCTTTTTATGCCCTTTATCGTCATGTTTTAATTGAGCATAGGTTTCCTAAACCAACTAGTATCAAGCTGTTTTATTGTTTAGCTAATAGGTGCAGAGCAGGGGAAGATCAAGGTTTGAATACTCAGTAAGATGATGGTTGTTTTATCCACCTAGGCAAAAAATAAACATCTTAACATGCATAATTTGTGGTGGCTGCACCTGAGTCAGGTGATCAAAGGTTTTGTTTCACTGACTGGGCAAAAAACAGGCATTAGCCTGCTTTGTTTTATTCCAAAGGAAAGGTAAACAGCCTGTCAGAGCTTTCCTCCTAGACCAGATGCCAACTGACAACTAACGACCTGGTTAGCTCTGTCAAAAACATTAAGTTTTCAAGTTGCATTTCCTCTTCTTAGAATACGACTAGTATCTTCTCCAAAGCACTCCTCCGCCCGAAGCTGATGGTACAAGTGGGATGTGAGGTTTGGTATACACCAATCAACATTCAGCGTAACAGAGAACAAGTAGTAGTTCAAGAAAATGAAACCCAGAAGAAAGTATCATCAGTCTACAGTACAAATGCATCTGTTCATGAATGTAAATGGGACAAAACCATCTGTTATATGGTAGCTCTGTCATACCTGGTCAAGTTAACAGATAACAGGTAGTACCAACTATGTTAAATTACCATGTCATATTTTAAAAGAACAAAGAAGTAAATAAAAACAAACATAGCCAATTATTGTAACAATCTAATCTACTACAAAATACACAAGATAAGCACAACCTGTGGTATACTGTGGAAAAAAAAATATACTGAAAGGTTATCAGAATGTGTCAATTATTTCATTATCAGCCATGAAAGCAACACACATATGGGTGTGTCATTCCGCAGGCACATATTTGTGTGCTTAAATATAATATCTATCTAAAACCCAGCACCTTCCTTGTGTGGGTTTAAGGGCCTCATTTGAAGGATGACAAAATAATAAGACCCACTGCTACACAACAAACGTATAAAAAGAAAATACCAGTACTTCTTTTCTTTATGACCTTTATTGTTAATGACTTAGGAGTTTCCTTAAACCAGATGTGACGGGCCAAAAAGTACAGATACTTCACAGATACTGCAGTCTTGCTGCAAACCACCCAAGACATCAAGCATCCTTTTTTGGGTGAACATAGAAGAAGAAGAAAAAGAAGAAGAAGAAGAAGGAGGAGCAGAGGAGGAGCAGAAAAAGAAGAAGAAGAGGTGGAGGAGCAGAAGAAGAAGAAGAGGAGGAAGGATAAAGAAGAAGAAGAAGAAGAAGGAGGAGGAGGAAAAGGAGAAACCCAGCAGGTAGAGCAATATCAGTCCAGTAGAAACGCTCCGTTAATGATTGTAAATGGAACTGACTTCTAGATGGTCCTTACTATGAGTCATCTAAACACAAAAATAAACAATGACTCAATGATTTCCTGGAACCATTCTTAGTACAAGCACAAGTGTTTATGATTGTAAACGGAACCAATTCCTAAATGGTCCTTACTTTGAGTCATCTAAACTTTTTGCAAAGTAATCATCAACAGAATTAAAGAGGCAGTTGATACAATCATGAGAGAAGAACCAGCTGGTTTTTGAACTTGAAGAAGTTGTCTGGATTAAATAATTACCCTGAGACTTATTCTGGAAGAGCACATTGAGAAGCAACGACAACTCATCCTGAATTTTACTGATTTAAAGAAGGACAGCTAACATAGAATTCCACTATGGGAAATTCTGGAATGCTACGGCATACCAGCCAAAATATTATGTATTTTTATAAATTTATATGAAGGTTCAGAATGTACAGTTCACACTGAAAATGGTCTAAGTGACTGGTTTTTGGTGGAAACTTGACTGAAACAAGGCTGCATTCTATTCTCCCTAGTTTTCTGGAGTAGCCATCGACTGGGTAACTACAAAATGTTGCAAAGGCAATACTGGCATTGACTGGGTAGAGAACAGATAAACTGAATATCTAGGTCTGGCAGATGATATTCTTCTGTTCATCACCATGTAGCAGGTCCTTTGCAGAATGTCACTCTCATCACAGTCTACCTGAAAGAAACGTGGTCTCTCGCCAGCTCTCCTACCTCATGTTCTTTCATACTCATGGAGTCACTTATATCCTGTGCCCATCTTCGTGTTGGTCGGCCCCTGCCCGTACTTCCTGGAACTATGTCTTCTGCTATAATTTTTTCCAATCCGTCGTGACGCTTGATATGAATTAACAAAGACATGCACAGAAAAACAAAAGATTTGCCATCTATAGGATCAAAAATAGGATAACAAGTAAATTATGAGAAAACAAATATATTAAAGATACCAAAAACAGATCATGTAAATGTCAGAACAAACCAATAAAAACAATGGACCATTTCACATATTTGGGTAGCAATTTTGACTCAAGGAGATACAATGAAGGAAATTATGATACGCTTTGGCAAGCAACAATAAAACTATTTGAGTCCCAAAGAACGCACTCTACGAACGTTCCTTGCCCAATATGAATTAAGGACAAATACCTGAATCGACTGCATTAAGACAAATAAGGTGGAGATATACTGGGCACACTCTGAGACAAAATCAGCACACACAAAAATCACATAGCAGGCGCTGAAATGGGAAACAAACTGTCTTTGGGAGAGAAAAAAAAAATTGAGGATGTGCAAGGGAAACATCTGGAAGAAAATTATGAGAGGCTAAAAAATGCTGGGTTGAATTCCATGTCAGAAATCAAGAAAGCTGCATGCAATAGACGGGAGTGGAGGAATCGAATGTGAGCCCTGTGTGACGTCTAACAGCACACAAAGGATGATGATGATAAGTCTACTAAACGTGGAAATAGAAAATGGTTCCATGTTTTCCTGATCTATTCTTGGTACAAGCACACCTGTTTATGATTGCAAATGGATGTGCATCTGAAATTCTAGCTATGGTTCTTTCTGAGAAGTTATCTAAACATAAAACACGCACAAAAACTGTTTTGTTTTCTGCCATTCATTCTATATGCTCCAACCACAGCAGTCTGTTATTGTTTATTCCTTTCTTCTATTGCTGAGCTTCTTAGTTCCCCACAGGAGGCCAGCAAAAAGTGGTGATTTAAACAGGTTATCATTTTATTCCTCCATATACCCAAATATACCCATATATCCATATAAAGCCTATATACGCAAAATCACCACCTGCGAGATGAGGTGCCTGAGAAAAGCAGCCAACCTAACCATACGAGATCGAGTGAATAATGAAACTATGAGGCAAATTGTGGGAACGACACCTTGTACTAGATTCATAGAGAAGCAGCAAATCAAGTGGTGTTTGCTGTTTTGTTCACTGTAAGACTCGATTATCAAAAGTTAACATATACTAACAGCTACCAATAATGAAACATCCAAACATAACTACATCCATTAAGCAACAGATTACAGATTATAACAAGATAATTCATACCAACCAACTCTATGTTACCAACCCCATAACTAGACATTATCAAAAACTCTTACAGCTAAAATCAACACTTGCGACAAGAAATGCCTGTGGAAGATGGCTAATTTAACTATCTGAGACCGAGTTAGAAATGATACCATAAGACAAAATGTGGGAACCACACTCCGTATCAAATTTCTGGTCAAAACAGACGACTAAAACCATGGCCAGGTTTGCTAGCCGTAGGCAATTTTTGCTTCTGTGACGGTGGCTGTTGCATTTTTGCTCCATTTTAGATGAAAGGATTATAGTGAGTTTTGCCCAGCTTCTGGAGTTGATGTGCATGGCGTGGCACTGTTGAGCTGCAGATTTCATTTGGAATGTTTTTTTCGACTGTGACTCAACGTGATGGTGTTGAACGTTAGATAGAATCAGAAAATGGGGCGATGCCTGGTTTTGCAAATTTTTGGTGGTGCCCTTTGTGTGATTAAAACTTGTATTGCGTGTTGCACACCGCTGAATCTGTTGGTGACTTCCTATTATCATCAATGATGATAACTGCATTTCTAATGCAGAATGTTGTGTTAGCACTTTGGATGGCTGAGGTATGCTTTTAATGTGTGTGTATGCTAGATATGCTGAGACAGCAGTCTGTCAATCTTTACACGAGGGACTGTGATAAACATTCTATGTGTTTTTCGTTGGCACAGGAGGGGAGCAACCATGGGGTGAGCCATTTGCTATGAAGCTGAAACTAAGATTACCAGAGTGAAAAAGAGAAAATCGAATAGCAGCAACATCCCTTTCCAAAACAGGCGCTACATCTAACATGATCTGAAGTGAGAATAAGAGACTACCCAAAAAGACAATACACTGACAACGTTACAGACATTGTTAATTTACATGTAATGAAAATAGCCCGTACCATCTATTAAACTCTAGACCAGCAGTTCTTAACTTGTGAGTGGCGACCATTTTGGGGGTCAAACGGCCCTTTCATGGTGGTCATCTAAGACCAATCGGAAAAAACATATTTACTGAAGTTATGAAGTAGCAACAAAAATAATTTATGGCTGGGGTCAGCACAAAAAGAGA